AAAAAAAAAAAAAAAAAAAAAAAAAAAAAAAAAAAGCTTGTAGTACCAGTGAAGGTAACAAACTAAAAAAATCTCAGGAGATATAAATAGTGCCCAAATACCTATTAGCATTTATCTATATTCTTTCATAAAAATGCAAACTACAACTAATCAGAACTCCACAGGCTCTTAAGGTTCAAAGAGCCCTTTTAGTACTGCCAATTTTAACATACCTAGCATTGATCATCAAAACACACAAAACATATAAATGTGGTGCAGTAACTATATCTTAAGAAATTTAACAGTTCATGGAACATTAAAATTCAACTGAATAGCACTTTAAAAGGAAAAGTGATCAAAAGCAGGTACATCACACCCTATACCATATTATGTATGGGAATACATTTCATATTTCTCAATGATGACTTGCCAATTTTACCTTCTACATGAGCCCTCTATGGTCCATGCTCATCGGATCACCAATGGCATACACTCAAAGGATTCCTCTTTATGGGTAACTATCTCAGGACCTGATTTTATGAGCTATGATTTGGTGCTTGCAGCATCTTCAGCACTGTGTGTGAAAATGAAGGCAGTATTTTTGAATATTTTTCTTTGTTGTAGAGATAAGCAGGAATTTTAAAAGGATCAGCACATTTTAGAAATCGAATAAACAAAACTGCTATGATGCTGCTTTAATACATTCATCTTAACTCAAAATATGTACCAGTTAAAATCATCTACAACACACAAACATTTTAAACTGGCAAAAAATAAAATAAATGCAGCGAGTTATTAAATTATTGTAAGTCAGAAAAATATTGGTTGCTACATAGATTATGAAAGGTTATTTGCTATACAGTTAACATTTCACTGATGCACATGCCTTTTATCAAAACATACTGCCAATATTCCTTATCATTTTTCCTTTTTCAGCATATAAAACAATTAGCTAAGAAAAATCATAGTAAAATTGACCCGTAATGTTCTTACTAAATCATTATAGTTTAAGAAGAAAAAATGAAGCATAGCTTTGGAGGGAAAGAAAATGTCCTGTCAATCAAACCGACTGTGAAGGCTGTTGAAGTTTCTGACCAAATAATTTCCTAAATCTTAACAACTATGTAACTGTCCTTTAACTGTGACACTTTTGTATTTTTGGGAAAAATACAAAAAGATTTGGATATAGTTCAGTTACAGCAGCAATCTACTCATTTTCTCACTTTAATTAAAAATAAAACAAAAAACATTACCCAGAAATGTAAACAGCTGCATGAACAACTTAATAGACTTTCCAGTAAAATGGTAGCATAAATAACAAAATACATTTTGGGGAAGCAATAGCAGATTGCTTTTGAGTACACAACCACAAAAACCTCACAGGGACAACATTAATGTACTGAAATATTTATTTATATATGTCCTTAGGTTGTGCTTACCTGTTGCTTTTTGCAGCAGAACCTAAGGTGGAAGGTCTGGGAAGGCACTGTGAAGTATAAATAATTGCACTGTTTGCAATTAATAAAGATTTTAAACCTTAAATGAATCAAAATCAACAGCCTCCAATTTGTGAGTTATGACACTGAACTAACTGAACTATTTCTTCAGTTTAACTAACAAATGCACCAACTTTCCTAAAAGTAACCTACATAACAGTATCATGCAAAATACTGAAATTATGTCAATTCCCTACTCTTAAAGATAAGTGATAACTCCTTAACTATTAAACTTCAAACTAGAAGTACATACCAAGATCTAAATAAGGGTAAGGGAAGTCACTCTAGGTTACATAAAACAATCAACATTTCAAAATATCTACAATGAACTGTATGTACTGCTATTTTTCACCCTATAGGTAATCTCAACATTTATGTCCTCCTTTACAGTATATCTGAAACAATGAATGGTGCTCCCCACCAATAACGTAACTAATATAGTAGTTAGGAATGGTGTTAAAAGTGCTACATTGCTTATTTGCAAACAGAAAACCACATCTGCCTTAAACATTTCAAGTTTTTCATATCAATATATAAGATATGCATATTTTACACTGAAAATCAATATTTTAGGAGCACCAGTAATACTATTCAACTTTGTTAATGATCAGTTTTCTTTAGCTATGGCTAAAGCATTATCAAAAATACTTACCCATTAAGCTCACTTAAAAAAAAATACAGATCTATGTATTATTATTCTACATTACGAAGCAGTTATGGTTTTCCAAGATATCAGCACTGTATTCCAACATAATAGTCACACAAAATAGGCATTTGCATTATGTGGAACATTGACAAAAAGATACTGTTGCAGTTCATCAATTTGTCATTCTGATGTACTTACAGTGCAATGCTCCTTGAAGGAACACAATCAAGGATGATACACAGCACAGTCCTCCTCACCCCTACAGAGCTAGTTCTATACTGGCTGGATCAAACCTGCACTTCAACAGACAATGGCAAGACAGACTGTATTTGCACGTAGTCTAATATATTAATATGCAAGAGCCAACAAATATGCAGAGTAAAACAATGGATTTCAACAAAATATCAGAACTTCAGCATGAGTGTTAAAGAGTAATAAAATGATTTCAAGTACATAAAAAAATTAACTTGATCAATGACTGGACTTGTGCATTTACAAAACAAAGCTTATCTATACTGCAAAAAGGAAAAAAAGAAAAAAGCTTGAACGTTTCCATACCCCAATTATGTTTCAATGGCAGATGCAATGTAGCTATTCTTTTTGCATGCTATTCACTTTTCTATCCTACATTTAGAAAGAAACACTGATATTATTATATACATTGAAAGAGTAGCTTTACATGAAAAAAAACTTATTAGACTATTCAAATTCACTATCTGAAAACTGTTTAAAATCAGTTATGCTGAAACAGTCTTGGAAATCAAGTAATTATCAAATTAAACAGAAAGGTTAACTGTTATAGCAGCAGTACAGGTCTGCAACAGTGGTCAGGTATAAAAGGAAATGTCACTGTTAATGCAATGGAAGTATGCCAGAAGATCACTGTACACACATGCAGTTTTAATCAAACAGAAGGAAAAAAAAAAAAATGACGATATCAGGATTTCTTGTGCTGAAATAGCCAAATACAACAAAAGGAAAAGTCCTCCAATCTACCACTATACTGCAAGGGGGAAAAACATGCCAGTGTTTAAAAACTCAGTAATTCATGGGAAAGCTTATATATTTGTGTATATGTATCTTAATTTATAATTGTTAAGAAATTATGAATCCTTCAGCCACATATCCAACTTACCGACACAGGAGGTTTCATATCATTTATTGTAAAGCACAAAACAGGCATTTTAAAAGTGAAAGTATACATTGAAAAAGTACATTTATATCACAAAGCATTGACCACATAATAGTTGCAAATACATTTGCTGGAATGTGTACATCTACACTAGGTACTAAAAACAAACCAATTTTCATTTCTACACAGAAATATTAACCTCCTATCAGTAGTGATAGATATTTTGTACATTTTCCAAAAAAAAAAAAAGAAAAAAAAAAGAAAAAAAGAAAAAAAGAAAAAAACAAAACAAAACAAAAAAACACTACTTTAAACCAAAAAACAAAATTAAGATCTTCATCAAGTCGTCTGCATCCATATATTTAACAAAGGTTTTTTCCCCCACACAATGAAGCAAATACTGTATTGTCCACTTCTTATTATTGGCCCTGTGCAGAAGAGATACATAAGAAATACACAAAAAGTTAAAGAAAATCCTTTAAATGGAGCTAATTCAGGAGTGAATCCTTTAAGAAAGAAAAACTGGTTAATATAAATGGTGGTGGCTTCTTGCATGATTTGCAAATCCCTGGGGGGAAGAAAATTTATTTTTAAAATCAAAGGCATTGTAGAAATATTCAGCACTCAGATGCCAGAAAGCATTACAAAAACAAACATAAAACCCAAACAACACACAATACTTCATTGAGTTTATACTTTGCCAGGTGAAAATTTAAAAGGTAAACATATTCCCAAACAGACAGACAGTAAACATGCAGGAAGCATGACTGGAGTAAAAACCAACAGCTTAGCAAATGCACGATACCTGAGGTGCTGGTGGGTGCTGCGGCATGCCCTGTGGACTTGTTTGAGCATAGTAGGCAGCCTGCTGTCTATAGTACTCAGCCCAGGCTGCGCTGTAATCAGGCTGGCCACCGGGGGGTGCACCGGCAGGAGCAGGAACTGCTTGACCTTGGAGAAAACAGAACTATTGTTGAAACCAGTTACAAACCCAAGAGAATCTCATTTCTAATAAACACAATACTTTGCTTCTTGTAATATTCCTCCCAAGACTCTGAATGATCGTGTGTCTGTCCTAGATGACTTAAAAAAAAGGCCCCCTAAATTTTAAACAAAATTTTATCCAAAGTACAGGTTATGACAAAAGCAAAGCCGATCACAACTGTTCTTGTTTACCTATAAGCTACCCTGAACTTTAAAAAGATATTGTTTCTGCCTTATGTTAACTGTACATTTGAGCATTACTATTAATAAAAACAGAACCTTGGCAAAGTCCACACAGCTTTAAAGAAAGGTTCAGGCCTAATCCTCAACTCAGTTCCAGAGGGAGTCAGCAATCTCTCAGATGGTGTCCTGGCAGTGATGGACAGATGAAAGATGGGAAGAAACACTATTTTTTGTTTCGTAGCCATTTGGATTGGTCTGTAAACTACTGGTCTTAAACAAACAGAAAAGATCAAAGGGTGATGGTGAGTACAAACGGTGTGTTTTAAACCACAACACAATTCTATCTGGCATAAGAAACACCGTCAAGGAAACAAAAGACTCCTGCTTCCATGGGCTTTTTTCTAGGCAAGGTGACTTTCCTAAATTATGAGACTGAAAAGAGATACCACTATGCATAAACACTAACTGGGCTCTGAATTAAACTAAATGGGTCTTCACATAAATAACTACTACAGAGGCATTTTCCTGACAAGTTGAGTATTTAAACCTAGTCTGTGTGGAGGGTTTCAGAACAAGCTGTCTGCAACTTCCTCTGTACGAGGTTCATGCACATAAAGGACTGTCGGCAAACTTTTAAAAAATGGTAAAGCTGAGGGTGTGCTTTTCTATTCTTCCAGTTTTTGAAGGTATAAAAAAAAATTGAGGCGAAAAGAACACACGCTTTTTATTTAGCTCCTTTGCATGAACACCTGGCTCTACAGTTTAATTAAAGGCAAAAAACTGGAGCACAGACATCCTGGAAACTATTTCTATGTTTACTACCAACAAGGCAACTTTGTAATTTCAAAAAGTAGCCTACTATTAGAAAACTGGTCACAGAATAATAGCAACCAAATGAATAAACATTTTAGATTTATGTATATTAACTTAAAAAACTTTTTTTGGGGGGTAACATAGGGCAAAATTTCATATAGTACCAAACTCCCCTCAGATATTCTTCCAAAAACAACTCTTCTCAAAAGAGGAAGTGTGATTAACATTTGATCATATGAGGAGATACAAGTCAAACGCATCTGAAACAAGTCTGAACAGGTGGAAAACTGGAATACCCAGTAGGAGCCCACCAAACAGAGCCTCTCACAAACTACACGCGGGTTAAGAAAGCCACAATCCCCACTTCAGAGGAATGGAAGGAACTGAACCTCATTTTAAGACGCGCTCATCTTAGAGGCAAAATGACAACACAGTACAAGATGGCAGGAACAGGCCATGAAGAAAACTCATCAGATTCAATGTTCCCTAAAACACACCGCACCTCAAAATCAAATATACCCAACGGAAAGCTAAACTCAACACATTATATCTCCAAGAAAAACAAACGTGGTAATAAGTAACCAACAGGTGTCACTTCAATTTTAAACAGATGTCCAAGAAAAACTCATTCCAAAAGACAGCCTGGTTTTTTTTGGGGGGTACCGGGGATCGAACTCTAGTCCTCATGCTTACGAGGCAGGCGGCAGAACCACTGAGCTAAATCCCCAGCCCACGATAGCCTCTTTTAACAAATGGTGCTGGGAAAACCTTTTGTACATGTTCACCCTGTATGAAAATTCAAATCAAAATGGACCAAAGACCCAGACAAAGAATCACCCCCATGAGAGGAAAACCAAGGAAACAGACATTTCCCAAAAGTACAGATGGGCAAGGATTATGTGAAAATTACTCAACACCTTTAGCCACTAGGGAAATGTAAATCAAAACTACTTTCAGGAATATCATTTAGCCACAAAAAGGGGGAAAAGTCATTTACCAGAAAGATGATGGAACTAGAGACCATTATGCTAAGTGAAACAAGCCAGAGCCAGAAAACAATCACATTTTCTCTTATGAGAAAACAAACAAGCAAACAAATGGAGAGCTGCCAGGAAACCAGAAGGTGGACTTTTGGAGAGAGCAGTGGCAGGAAAGGGAAAAGAGGGATAATAGAATTTAAAACAATTGGAATATGTTAAAATACAACTACTATGTCATCCCATCTCACCCTAATCAAAATGGTTACCAACATGATGGGGAGGGGTTTCCTACACTGCTGGTTGAAAAATTAGTATGAAAAATCAGTGTGCAGATTAAACTAAAACTAGGCCAGGCATGGCCTAGGTACATGCCTGTAATCCCAGCACTTGGAAGGCTGAGGCAGGACTGCTGAGTTTGAGTCCAGCCTGGGCTACACAGCAAGACCTTGTCTCAAAAATCTAAACCAGAGCCAGGCGTGGTGGTGCACACCTATATTCCCAGCACTTGGGAGGCTGAGGCAGGAGGATCGCTGTGAGTTCCAGACCAGCCTGGGATACATAATGAGTTCCAGATCAGTTTCAACTATATAGTAAGACCCTGTCTCAAAAACTAAAAAACCAAAACAAACAAAAAAAACCCAAAAAACCCCCCAAAAATCCAAACCAGGGCTGAGATTTAGCTCAGTGGTTCTGCCGCCTGCATTGCAAGTGCAAGGTCCTGAGTTCAATCCTTGGCACCATACACACACACACACACACACACACACACACACACACACACACACACACTACAACCCC